AACTCCTCAACTCGTCTACCCCTACACACACACTGATACTTCCCCTGATAATATATAATATATCTTGTATAAACTCTCCGTGCATTATACTCAGGGGTGAGATTCAAATTTTTTAACAACCGGTTCTGTGGGCATGGCTTAGTTGGTGGGTGTGGCTTGGTGGTCAGGGTATTGGCTGGGTGTGGCCAACTCAATATCACTCACATCGCGGTACTCATCTCCTCGCCTGGCCTCTCATGACTGTGGGGATGCTGCAACAGTTGTAAGTGTGAAAAATGGTCATAAGTCACTTTTTTCAGTGCCATTGTAACTTTGAATGGTCACTCCACACAAGCAAAGTACCAGCAAAGGAGGGGAAAAAACTTCAGAGAAGTTCCTGAGAACCAAGAATGCCAAGAATGTAATAAGGGTTAACGAAGAGGCAGTTTCTGTAAGCAACACCAGAATGTTTCCTTCCTGCCTTCCTTACAGGATTAGGCCAGTAATTTCTTCTAACAACCGGTTCTCCGAACTGCTTAGAATGTTAACCGGTTCTAGCGATTAGGTGCGAACTGGTAGAATCCCACCCCTGACTATACTTATATTCAATATGTTTATAAACAACTCTGTACAGTTGTATATATTCCTTCCATAGATATATATTCTATATATTCATATATATTCTGTATATTCATATATAGTTACATATTTTTGTATATCTGTATGTATATATTTATACTTCATTGCTGTTTTGCACTTCTGGTTAGATGCTAACTGCATTTCGTTGCCTGCGTTCATGTGCAATGACAATAAAGTTGAATCTAATCTAAATCTAATCTAAGCTCATGGAGGTGCTGCCATTCATGAGTGCAAAGCCACAACAATCCTTGCAAGGTCCTGCTCCAAGAGGAATGGATAACAGGCAGGAAAATTCTCTTTCCCATTTTCCTGTCTTTCACGAAAACGGCTCCACTCTGAGCCTTCAGCATATCCCAGGATTGCAACGCTGAAGACTCCATTCTGAACCTTCAGCGTTGCAATCCTGGGATACGCTGAAGGCTTGGAATGCCTCTGCTTCAGTGCAGAGTAACTTTTGCCCCTCTTTGCAGCTGTACAGTTGCCTCCCCCAGTGCCCGTACTGCCACTCATGCCAGCCATGCCCATCCCCCAGGCTTATTTCCGGGGTAGGGGTAATATTAGGCCCACCCCCAAAAAAATTAGGATTGGGCTTATTATTGGGGTGGGTTGTGTTTTCTGAGAAACACGGTATCAATGCTAATTATTCCATATAAGTTAGGAATAATATTTATAATTGACAATGCAACATTAAACAAGATTTCCAAATACTTTGTGCAAGAAACTATGCTGATTCTTTGCTGATAAAGTGACTTTGGTATCGATTGTCAGAAAAGATCTTTAGCATGAATGCCTGTACTTTCTCTGTATCTTTTCTTTCTAGGATTTCATTACTCCTATCTTACTAACAAATAATTTTCTTTAATTCATGTTTACAATTCACTTGCTGAATCTGATACATGGAAAAAAGCAAAACTTCTTGAAGAATGTAAGTTCTGCCCATAAGCCTACACAAAAAATTATGTGTGTGAATTAATACAATTTTTAAGTGCTCAAACCATTTTATTGTGTTTTTAATATTCTGTACAGATGATAGCTTATCGAAATTATACTCAAGAAAATTTTTGGCACGAATTTAAACATTGTTTAAATATTTAGTTTTAATATTTAAAAGATACTGTTTCCCTCCGAAAATATGACCTACTCTGAAAAAATCCCTAGTCCGATTATCACGCCTGTACCTAAAATAAGCCCTACCCCCAAAATTAGATGTAGTTAAGTCCTACCCACCATCTGTTGTACGAGGTGGGTGAGGAGCAGCCATAAAAATCAAGCTAGGGAGAGGGTGGGAGGTGGGGGGCGAAAGGAAGCAATGGGTGTGTGGAGGACGAAATGAGGCAGTGGGAGGTTGAGAACTAAACAAGGTGGGGGGGGGGGTGCAGATTGTCCCATGCAACCTGCACTAGCTTACCCAGCCCTCTCCCCCACTCTCTCTCTCACACGCACACACACAGAGGTTTCATCAGATCATTCTCTCTCTCTCTCTCTCTCTACCCCCCCCTCTCTCTACCTCTACCTCATGGTGGTGGCACTTCTGCTCCATGCAGTCACTGCCTCCTGTGCATAGGTGGGGTGGTGGAGCACTCGGCAGGGCTTTGTGATGAAAAAAATAAGACCTCCCCAAAATAAGCCCAAGTGCTCATTTTGGGCCCAAAATAAAATAAGACCGGGTCTTATTTTCGGGGAAACACAGTATGTACCTATCCATTTATGAATTCATATACTCATACAAAAACACTTTTAAAAGCAAGTTGGACCAAATGCATTTAGTGCACATTATTGAAGTAGGATTTAGAGAATTGATTGCATTTTGGAAAGCAAAACCCAGAGGCATTTTTCCTATTTAAAATGTCTCTTGTTCATTAAATATACAAGATCTAATGCCAAAGTATCAGGAGAAGTTGTTACTGATGTTCCAGATAAATATTCATCTGTACACAAAGTGTGTTATTTGCTCAAGTGTTCTTCCTTTTGCTGTTTTGATTGATGGGCATATACAATTAGAATTTTGCTTTTCATAAACTTCATATAAATGTATTATTATCTGTTTTGAAGGGTTAGACCAAGGAAAATAAGATATTTGTTTTACTTCTTTCCTAAATTAAAAAAACAAACTGGATTTTCTCATTGTTTTCTTTTAAAATGTTTTCTTTGAAAATGTTTCACTTCTCATCCAAGAAACTTTTTCAATTCTAACAGAACCTTTTGAAAAACAGCCTTTCGGATAACCATGACTTGAATGATTGAGAATCTCCATAGACATATTACAAATAAAATAAGAACCAGAGATGTAACACGTTAAAGTTTTTTTATTAAGCACATACAGTATGAATCTTACCAGCATACCAAAGCCCATATAGCATCACTGTATTTTAAGCAATAAGATGCCTGCATCATATGATAAATACTCAAAAGAAAGACTGTTTCTTAAGAAAAGGCTTAATAGTTTGCTTGCTTGAAATATCTGGTTCTTTTCCTTAAGGAGAGCAAAATGTTATCCATATGTTTGTAGCCCACTCTGGTTTACACAATCATCTTCTTGTTAGATATATTATATAAAGATGACATTTGCAATCATTGACTATTTAATTTACTTCCAACCTCTGAGGTGATAAAATGGGCCTCATCAGCCATACCTACTGCTGTTTCTACTCTCTGTAGAGAGAACTGAGTAAAATTGGGACAGAATGGCACTGGGGAAGCAGTAACTTTATTGTGCCACCTGAGATTGGTTCCTTTTTTTCTCCAAGTTGAAGTTGTAGAGATTAGGAAATACTGACTTCTCTAAATGCCACTTAGATAGTAATAGAAATTGTCATTAAATATCAGATTGTGGCAGGCTATAGTTTGTTATGTCATTTTGCCAAAACCTTGTGGAAAAACACCATTGGGACAACTATGACCTGGATGATTGAAAATATCCATAGACAAACAGTAAATACTTTTCTCATAGGAATTAGTGCAAAATGTGCCCTAGCATGCCAAGTGAACATGCACTTACTCTTTTAACTATTTAGACCTTCCAGTTGATCATCAATATTTAGACATAGATCCTGTCCTAGAAACTAGTTGTCTGAATCACTGGAATTCGGAATTGGGACAATAGGAACAGTCCTGAATAGGAATGAACTTTTCTGTGCCTTAAAGAAATTAGCCTTGCACTCTAAGCACAATCACTTTAAGCAGGTCAGTTTTCATCTCACAATTACCATCTCACATCAGAGCTTTTCTGTTTTAATATGTTTAGTTATGATTAATTCATTTCATATGACATCATGTGAAAACTTGCTGCTATATAAAACTACAATTCTTTTCATTCTCATGAATTGATTGCCAGTCTCATTAGAGATATTTACTGGGTAGTTAAGAACAAATTGAGTCAAATTTGTTACCCAAAAAGATGCTAGCCTGGCATCTGATAATTCACTGAGTTCCACTGATGAAAAATTCAGTGTATCTTCTAGAAGCAGACAGGTTTTTTTGTATAAGCTGATGTTCTCTGTAACATAACAATCAAACCAAGGCCCCAGGGTATAATCCTGAGACAAGTTCTTTTCATGATTTACTAGATAGTTAAGAATAAATTTTGAATATAAAAATATACAAAATAGCATTAGTTATTGCTTGACAAGGTAAGTACAGTAAGTACTGGTTTTGGTTTATAAGAACAACCATTCTTATACACAGCATACTGTGTGTGCTAAAATGGCGACTGGTATAAACTGGTATCTTAGTTGAATTGCCTAAAAATTTATATGTAGAAAAAATTGTTTTATGTGTATTAAAATGCAGTTCTACAGTCATGTAATGATCATGTTCTTTTGAGAAGAGCTTATTCCCTTGTGGGTTTAAGTATGATTTCAATATATTAAACGTTTGTAATTAACTTCACTATTATTCAACCAGTTTAGAGATATAGTTAATTTAGGATTGAGGGGATTCAGGTTCATGTCCATCTTTAGCTCCCTGGGTAACTTTGGCCTAGTCACTTTCTTTTAACCAATTCACATCACAGGGTTATTCTTGTGGATATAGCTAGGGAAGGAAGTATTCTATTTGCCACCTTGAGCTCTTGAAGGGAAAGAGGAATTTAAAACCAGTGAATAAAAATGTATTTTTCCATTTTCTCTTTGATCACTTTATCTAAAAAGTGTCACAGCCTCCAACAATAACACAGCAGTCTCCAAAAAAATATATTATTGACCCAAGAGAGAATATTGTAATACAGTGTGAAGCAAAAGGAAAACCATCTCCTACGTAAGTCCTAGATTTGTATTCATTCATTGTTTTTTTATAATACATCATACAGCCAAAGGAAAACATTATCCTTAAGTGATTACTGGATTGATTGTCTTATATGCATACATTTATTGTCTTTTTTATAATGCAATCTTATGTATGCCTGAAAAAAGTAGGTTTGGATAATCAGGCTTTCTTTATTCTGATAACTGCAGCTTTAATATCTAAATTTTATGAACCAATAATTTACAGATACAAAGATAAGTTTGATTCCAGATCAAAATACATCATGTAAATACTTAACTGTTTTTAAATGGTTCTGTCAGAAGCTCAGAATTTCAGAAGTCTCTGAAATTATTTCATTTTGACATTATTTCCTTTAAAAGTATTTCCTGCATTTCACTTTGCCTATGCCACAAAGAGCTATTCGGCTCTCTCCTTTACTGTCATCTTCTGCTGTGCTTTCAAGGGGTGGGGCAGGGGAAAACAGAGGAATTCAATAACATTGTTGGTATACTATGGAAAATGTGTTTGTTTGTGTGTTTGTGAGCACACACGCGCATGCATATGTGTGCGTGTGTGTGTGTACAAGAACGCCCTTTATATGTTCAAAGCGTGGCTCCCATCAGATTCAAAAGTATGATGCAATGTTCAGGGGCACTTGTTTCTTAATGATTTGTATTTTAAATAATTAACTTTCATAACCAGAGTCATTGCTAAGGAGCTCTTGATTTATAACCAGTTCTAAGTGGCCAAAGTAGTTGTGGTCTAAATACATTAATAATGCAAGGGTGTCAAACTCAAGGCCAGCCTGCCGGCCGCAGACCTGGCCTGGAAATAGCAAAGGACTGGCCTGCGGTGCCTCTGTTAGCTAAAATGCAGCATGGGGGCCCGTGCGTGCCCCAATTTGAGTCTGGACGGTTTCCTGTGACTTTTGCTCAGGAAGCCCTTGTAATTTGCTGTGTTGTTCCATAGTGAACAACAAACTTGCTTGCTTGCTCTTGACTTGCTTCTCAGCTCACTTTTTATCTTCTTTCTGAGACTATTCAGAAAATCATACCCCCCACCCCCTTTCTGGTTTATATTCTCCAGAGAGGTAATTAAACATGTCCTTCTTTTTAGCAGATTCTACTTGTCACAGAAAAGGGACTGGTGACTTGGCTGAGGTTTCTGGAGTCCTATGTTGACTTGGAATCTTCCTCTGTCTTTCTCTCTCTGTGTGTATTTGGTGGTCCCAATCTGCTTTTTCAACTAATGTCAACCCAAGCTGGCCTTGATTCCCCCCCCTTAAGTGTTTATGACTACTTTCTGAACTTGCACCCCCATCCTTGAAGCTGTTTGTCATATTACTGAGCTCATTATCTTCCTCCCCAGCTTTTGCATACATAATTCAACTAAAATCAAATTGCCACACTTGCTTTCTGCTTTCTGTTTCCCTGCTTATCAGTGGAGTTGATTTCTACTAATTCTTTTCTTGAGGAAAGACCCAAACTGTGAGCAAGCTGACTTTTCCTGATGATTTCATTCTTATTTCAAATCAACTAGTATAGACCTCCTATGCCCCATTTTGGCTGCCAGGGGGCTATCAAAACTAAAAACAAAATAAAAGGAGAAATGTTTCCTCTTTTGCATTTGAGCATGCAAGAAGGGGCAGAAAAGGAGAAAGGGAAAGAGGAAGGACAAAGAAAAAGAAGAAAAGATGGGAAGAGAGTAAGGAAGGAAAAAGAAGAAAAGGAAGGGATGAAGGAGAGTATAATGAGAGTGAGGGAAGTCCTGCCTTAGCACTTGGCCACTACAGGTGCCTCCCCGACACAAGTCCCATGTCACACTCACCATGGCCAAGCCCACAATGGCCATGGCCATGCACACCTCCGGCCCTCCAAAGTCAAACACAACCCTGATGTGACCCTCAGTGAAATCAAGTTTGACACCCCTGCATTAATGGAATATTGTATCTGCTGAATTCTTATATTCCATATTCAGAAGGGGAGGAGATGGTTGAACTTGTCACTGGATTCAGAATGTTGGACTAAGCTTGATCATTATACCCACGACATGCGTCATCCTGATTGAATATGCTGTTAACTCATCTAAAATTTATCTCTGTTCAATCATATTTGGGATCCCAGCATTAAGATCATGCTTTCTTAAGTTGTGTTATAATTTAGAGCAAATAAACCTGTAATTGACTTTTTTGATAAGTGTTTTAAGAAAATTGTTATCTTTACTTCTTATATTTTTAACTGGCTATCTAAATACTACTACTACTACTACTACTACTATCAATATTATTATTGTTGTTATTATGTTTATGTTTATTATGTTTATACTATTATAACTTGTACATTTTCTTAAAACAAGTGTTTTTTTAATAAAGAATTTTTTTCAGTGTTTTTATTTTATTGATAGCTTTTCATGGACACGTAATGGAACTCACTTTGATATAGATAAAGATCCACGAATAAGAATGAAGCCTCACTCAGGGACTCTTTTAATAAATATTATTCATGAAGGAGGAAGAGCAGAATTATATGAAGGTGTTTATCAATGTACAGCAAGGAATGTGCTTGGAGCAGCAATTTCCAATAATATCGTTATAAGAGCATCCCGTAAGTTTAATATTAATGAAACTTTTATTTCTCCTCAGTTCTTGCAAATTGTTTTTCCTCTATGTTTGAAATCCTTGCTTTTATGTAACAGGTTATATCATTCAACAAAATCAAATTCCTACCTGAGAAAGAATACTGTTCTGTTTGTTAACTTGTATTTAAATATTAAACACAATTTTCATTTTGTCTGATATTTATGTTATATTACAGTATTTTCCTTTCCTGGTTGTTTCTTTTAATTTGAAGACTAAATGATAGTATTTTTTCCACATAGGATCTCCTTTGTGGACTAAAGAAAAGCTAGTTCCAGTAAGAGTTACTGAAGGTCAATATGCAATTCTTCCCTGCAGGCCACCAGCAGGATTACCACCACCTATAATATTTTGGATGGATAACTGTAAGTTACATTTGAAACCCATATTCAACTACAAAACTAAAATTATATTTTCAGTTTTTCTATTTCTGGTGATCCATGGATTATAGCAATAAGACATATGGGAGAGGTTTCTTTTGTTATTTTTTTATTTTATTTTGTTATTTTGTTATCAGTTGCAATTCAAATTCATTTTGTTGCAGGCTTATAATAACTTGGACTGCAAAATAATTGATAAGCCCTGACTTTCAACAAAGGGAAATCTTATATTGTGGGAATATTAAAAAGTGGATAACTGTACCAGTCATCCAAATGAGGGGTCCTTGGTACTCTCTGAGCTTGCTTGTTTTCCTGCAGATGGTTCATTATCCAAACTAGGAAACATCATTAGTGCTAATAAGAAATGTAGTTTGTGACCAGTGTATATTCTTATGGTTTGCCCAGTCAGTGTAGTGGGGTTGGTCTGAAAGATTCTTTGGGTGGGCTGTTTACTGTTGGTTCTTTGGCAGTTTCTTGATAGGGTATTGTTTACTTGATTTTTGGTCTGATGTAAACCTTGAAATTAATCTATGCTGATCTTGGGTGCTGATTGCTGATGGAGAAGTGTTTGGATCCTTTTGTTCTTTTTTGTGCTGGGTGATAGTCTTGCATAGTCTATAGATGTTGTTAATGTCTATGTATCTATTGATGGCTGATTTGTCACAGTGCCAGGCTTCTAATAATGCCCTGATGTTTTTGAATTTGGCTTTGTCTAAGATGGTCACATTTTCCCAATTGAAACTATGGTTAAATATGTCTATATGTTGTGAAATTAAAGAATTTTTATCATGTTTTCTGACTGCTAGTTGACGTTCGTGGATGCGTTCTGCCAGTCTTCTGCCATTTGTCCTATATAGTGGTTGTTCCAGTCCTTACATTGTATGTTGTAAAACAGATGATGCCTGTTTTTTATTCTGGGATTGTTGGGTCTTTTGGTCTGCTTAGGATGTTTTGAAGGGCTTTAGTTGGCTTGTGTGCTATGCAGAGGTGGTATTCAGCAGGTTCTGACCAGTTCCGGAGAACCGGTAGTGGAAATTTTGAGTAGTGCAGAAAACTGGCAAATATCACCTCTGACTGGAGATTTTACAGTATCCTTCCCCTGCCACGCCCACCAAGCCATGCCCACAGAACCGATAGTAAGAAAAAATGAATTCCACCACTGGTGCTATGCTAATTCCATGTGGTTGTAGGCAGGGGTGGGATTCAAATTTCTTAACAACCAGTTCTGTGGGTGTGGCCTAATTTGTGGGTGTGGCTTGGTGGTCATGTGACTGGGTGGTCGTGGCTTGGTGATCACATGACCGGCCAGGCATGGCTTGGTGATCACGTGACCGGCTGGGCGTGATCATGTGATCATGTGACCAGCTGGGCATG